AGCAATCGACATGAAAGAACTGCAAACATACAGACACACGCATGCCCCGCATGACAAGGATTTCCCTTCTCTCGTGGTGACCCTGCAGGAGCTATCAAATTGGCAACAAAGTCGCAATGACCTTTTACGAAAACTTCGGCGAGCGACAAGACATCAGTAGCAGTAACTGTGATAAGATTCTTCGAACCCTCCAAGACCGAATGGGAGGTGCGAGTGCTCTCTGTAGCATCACGCAGTGAGACCCGCCGACCTCAGAAACGTGAGCACATGCTTCCAACAATCCTCACATCTCTAGCACCAGTCTCATGATAAGCATTCACAAGATGCCGGGCCTTTGCAGCGGGCTTCCGGCAGCAGCTCCTTTTTCGGGGCACTGTCAAAGGTGATCACTGGTAGATTGCGGGCTGACTAACCGAGACTTCTCCTTCCACCAAACACTGCAAGAACGAGACTGCACTCCGCACAAAGACTGAACGGAGCTGGCTCTGCCACCGCTGAAGAGCACGGTCCGAAAATGTCCGAAATCATGTCGGCCTTCATGCTTTGCGCTCTTCGTGGCAGCACCGGTTTTCGGCACCGTCCGGGCCGTTGCCTATGCCAAGCGACACTCCGCACTGCCCAACCCTATCACAAGCTGCAGGGACATGGGCGACCAGCACACCGTGCGTAACTCGACCCCAATGTCACAGCACCAGATGCTTTGCGGCGGCCTGCTTCGGCTCCAGCCCACACTCGATCGAGCAATTTGGGGTACAAGTAGGTGGCATCCTTGGCATGTCAACACAAACACCAAGCATCTGAGTCAGGACACTTCTGATCTGAGTCTCAAGCTCGGCGATCATGCAGCATCCAGGAGGCAGAGACAGCAGAGTTCAGGAGGAATTCAATCCTCGCAGTGGAACAGAGCCTAATCTCCGGCTGCAAGGGCGAATGGGAGCAAAATATTGCGGCTTCTGCTGCCGTTATAATTCGACACAGGATCTCAGCAGCCGCCCGAAACTGTTCATCCTCGAAGAAGAACGGTTTTGGAGTAGCAGAAATACGGAAGCCAATCAATGCCATTGTCACGCGCAGCCATAACTTCATCTGCAATTTTGTCTACAGATCTTTGCCAGCTCGATGCTAGCAATAGGAACCCCCATGCCCAACTTTGGTCGTGCCTTTGGCTGCTTCTCGCCAAGCAGTTTCCCGAAGACACATCAGCCCCTCGGCCGTTCAAGCACTGGCGACGACCACAACCGAGACGAGCCCCACCCACCCACAGTCAAGCTGAGATGCCTGAGACGCCCGTCAGCATGCCCTGGTCGTCAAGCATAGCCTGTAGCAATTTCGAAGACGTCTTGCCATCTCGCCATGCACCACGCTCCAACATTCGAGGTGAGTGGTGCCGGCAACACGTTTCGATGCCTGCACGGACCCGCGGATCGGATTGCTGATGCCCTCTTCCTTCATGTCAGGCCATCGTGCAACAAAAAACTGTGACTTGTCATACTGCCCTCTGCTGGCCTTGGCCAAAAAATCCCCGGTGCATTGTCGCGGCCACATCTGCCTGCGCAGAGAAACTTGCGCGACATGATCCCAAATCCTTACCAGCACTCCCCCACTGTGCGCAA